CATTCCTGCACCTGCTTCTCTGTGCTAATAAGGTTTGAGACTGCTTTCAGACCTCCCCACCTCTCCCCGACACTTGGCAACATCTTTCCTGGAAAAGCCCCAATTCCTGGAGTACTTACCAACAAAGGAAGATGTCGGTGAATGTCTCTGCTGTGGTGAAAAGTGCAAATATAATCCAGTACATCATCCATTTGACCTGTTGAAGGAGAAAGCAACAAAGCTAGCAGAAAAGGTCAAGGATGAATGGCTGCCAACGTGAAGAGAACAGGCCCCGACAGTGGATACTGAGATGTGTCCAGGCAGAGTGGCCTGCATTGGTAACCCCTTTTCCTATCTTTCCCCAGGTTGGTCCAGTTCTACTCCAGACCTTGGGGCTGGGGGCAAACATGCTGTTTCCACAACTGACCCAGGCTCAAGCTCTAAGTAGACTTTAGGTGGCCTTCAATAGCCCTCAGGTGAGCCAGGGAGACCTGAAGACCAGCAGTGACTCAGGTTTCAGTCAGGTCATTTGCCCAGGACTAACACCAGGTGAATAAAGTTTTCAAGCCTCCACAGAGACACACCCTGGAATAAACTTTAACCTGGACAGACTCTCTGATATGGAATGATGGTAATCCTCACTGGTCATTTAAAAACCCTTCCAGGGACTTCCCTGGCGGTCCAGTGGTTAGGACTCTATGCTTCCACTGCAGGGGGCATGGGTTCAATCCCTAGTCAGGGAACTAAGATCCCGCATGCCATGGTGTGGCAAAAAAACAAAAACAAACAAAAAAACCCTTCCATGTGGGAAAGCCCTATAGTCTCTCCCATTAACTGGATCTTTTCTTTTAACCTCCCCCATGTGACCATACTTTTCCATTTCTACTGTCTCTCTTCCCCAACTGAGGCCTTGGTCCCCTCTCTCCTGAACTACTGCAGGGGTCTCCTGACTGCTTCCCTGTCTCTTGGCTTTCCCCTCACCAATCCATTCTACAAACTATCCCCATACTAATCTCCCCGAAAGCATGAACTCAACCTATTAATCCTCCATTTAAAATCTTCTAGCCTGCAGCATAAAGTCCAAATTCCTTAGTCTGCTCCTTCTGGCTTTCGGAAATGGTGGGGTAGTTTGTATTGGACTAATCCTCTTGCCAATAACGATAATAAACTCTGAACAAAATATTTTATTTTATTGATTGATTGATTGATTGATTGCCTGCCGCGCCGCACCACACGGCTTATAGGATCTTACTTTCCCGACCAGGGGTCGAACCCGCATGCTCAGCAGTGAAAGTGCAGAGTCCTAACCACTGGGTCACCAGGGAATTCCCTGAACAAAATATTTTAAAACAACTGTTGGAAGGCTAGAAAAGCTATCAAAAGCTGGCAGAAACTGGAAAGGATCCAACTCTTGAAATAAGGGGACCACACCAGAGTAAACCCATGTTGATGCAGTTAAGGAAACTCCCTAGCTGGCAAATCATGGGGCAGATAGAACTCCAGAAGAAATCCATAGTCTTATTTGCCTGAGGAAGTGGAAAATAGAGTTTGAGACTGCCAATGATGCTGGAAACTGAAAAGGAAAAATCCCCAGTAAGAGGGAAGCCATAAAGGTGTAGGCCCCCAAATCCACATATAAATTCCTTTCAATTTCTTGGCTGGCTCCTGAATTGCACAGAATCAGGTAATATTCCAAGGTGACTGAGTAAAATACAGCTGGAAAACTGAGAGTTGAACAGAGATTCAGTTTCTGCCCACTGGAGGAGAAATAGAGCTTGGAGTTCAAGTTCTGCCAAATTAGAGGAGCTTGGTAAACATTTGGGAATTTCCAGTGAAACACCTAAAAGGCCATACCTTAGGAATAAAAATTATGCTCTAGGACTAAGAGATTAGCTCTAGGACTAAGAGCAAAACTGAAATACACCTGCCCCAATAAAACGTAAAACCTAGCTGCCACAAGGTCAAGATGATCTGTCAGAATTTAACTGCCTGTGAGAACAAAAATTAACGTTCTTCACAAGAAGGCAATGCAGGTCTAGAGTTCCTATGATGTATTATACATAACAGTCCAATAAACAAGAAAAGCTATATATATGAAGAAACAGGAAAACATACTCCATGGTTAAAAGAAAAACTGGTCAATAGAAACAGATCCATATTTGACCTAGATTTTATAATTAGCAAAGACTTTAAAAAGTATAAATGTGTGTTAAGACAACTAGATATTCACATGTGAAAGAATGAAGATGGACTTCTACCTCACACCATATACAAAAATATGAACTTAAAATGGATTAGAGACCTAAATGTAAAAACTCTTACAAGAAAACACAGGAGTAAATTTTTGTGACCTTGGATTAAACAATGTTTTCTTAGATGTGACATCAAAAACACAAGCAATGAAGGAAGAAAACAGATAAATTAGACTTTGTCAAAATTTAAAACTTTTGTACTTCAAAGGATACCATCAAGAAAGTGAAAAGACAACCCACAAAATGGGAAAAAATATTTGCGAATCAATATCTGATACGGTATTTGTATCCAAATAATAAAGAACTCATACAACTCAATAATAAAAAGACAAAACCCAACTTAAAATGTGCCAAGGGCCCATATCTTTTAGAAAATGAATCAATAATTAATAAATCCAATACCCATTTATGATAAAAACTCTCAGCAAAGGAATAGAGGGGAACCTCTTCAACTTGACAAAGAACATCTACAAAAAACCCTACAGCTAACATCACACTTAATGGTGTAAAATTAGATGCTTTCCCACTAAGATCAGAAAACAAGACAAAGAGGTCCCCTCTTAACACTCCTATTCACTATCATACTGGGAGTCCTAGCTAATGCAATAAGACAAGAAATGAAATAAAAAGTATACAGACTGTGAAGAAAGGCATAAAACTGTCTTTTTTTTCAGGTGGCATGACTGTCTATATAGAAAACCTAAAAGGACTGACTAAAACAAAACCAAAAAACCTGGAACTAATGAGCAATTATAGCAAGGTTTGAGGACACACAGTTAATATATAAAATAATCATATAAAAAATATAAAAACCAATTGCTTTCCTATATGCCAACAAAGAACAACTGGAACTTGAAATGTAAAAGACAAATACCATTTATATTAGCACCAAAAAAATTTAATTACTTAGGAATATACCTAACAAAATATGCAAAAGCTCTGTATGAGGAAAACCACAGTACTTCGATGAAAGAAATCAAAGAAGATTTAAATAAATGGAGAGATGTTATATGTTCATGGATAGGAAGACTCAGTATTATCAAAATGTCAGTTCTTCCCAACTTGATCTATAAATTCAATGTAATCCCAATTGAAATGCCAGCAAATTGTTTCGTGGACATCGACAGATTAATTCTAAAGTTTATATGGAAGGGCAAAAGATCTGAATAGCCAATATGATACTGAAGAAGAAGAACAAAGTCAGAGAATGGACACTATCTAACTCAAGACACAAGCTACAATAATCAAGACAGTGTGGTATCCGTAGTGAAACTACAGATAAATATATCAGATAGACTAGACAAATAGAATAGAGCTCCAAAACAGACCACATAAATATAGTCAACTGATCTTTGACAAAGGAGCAAAGGCAAATCGATGGAGAAAAGATAGTCTTTTCAATAAGTTGTGCTGGGAGCAACTGGATATTTGCATTCAAAAAAAATTGATAGATGTAGGCATTGATCTTACACCTTCCACAAAAATTACTCAAAATGGATCACAGACCTAAATGATAGATGCAAAATTATAAAATTTCTATAAGGTAACACAGGAGAAAATCTAGGTGACCTGGAGCTTGTTAATGAATCTTAATACATCACCAAGAGTGTGACCCATGGAAGAAAAAAAACTGATAAGTTAGACTTCATTAAAATAAAAAACTTCTGGGCTTCCCTGGTGGCGCAGTGCTTGAGAGTCCGCCTGCCGATGCAGGGGACGCGGGTTCGTGCCCCGTTTCGGGAGGATCCCACATGCCGCGGAGCGGCTGGGCCCGTGAGCCATGGCCGCTGAGCCTGCGCGTCCGGAGCCTGTGCTCCGCAAATGGGAGAGGCCACAACAGTGAGAGGCCCGCATAACGCAAGAAAAAATAAAAAAATAAAAAAAATAAAAAACTTCTGCTCTGCAAAAGACATTGTTAAGAGAATGAAAAGACAAGCCACAGACTGGGAGAAAATATTTGCAATACATATATCTGAGAAAGGACTTGTATCCAAAATACACAAAGAATACTTAAAACTCAACAACAACAAAAAAAACCCAATTTTTTAAACGGCAAAAGATCTGAAAGACACCTCATCAAAAAAGATATACAGCAACTTATTAACAAATATTTTGTTATAAAAGCTAAATTTTTCTTCTGTCACCACTTAACAAGACACTTATCCTAGGAGAAAAAGGGTGGGTTCAATATTATTTTCTTTAAAAAGTAGAAATATGTTAAAGAATCTATAGGGAAAGGTAGATATAATGAGTGAAGAGATGGGAGATTTCAAGAGAAAGAAGGAAAATTTTTAAAAAGAACTAAACGATATCCTAGAACTGAAAGATACAATATCTGAAAAAAACTTTTTAAATTATTGAATGGAATTTATAGCAGCTTGGACACAAAAAAAGATTTGTGAACTTGAAGACAAGACAATAGAGTCAACCAGGCTGAAGTCTAGATTGGAGGAGGGCAGGTGCGGAATGAAGAGTCTCAATACCTGTAGAATAGCATCAAGCAGTCTAACACATGTGGAATAGGAATTCTAGAGGAGAGGAAAAAGAGAATTGGACAGAAAAATTATTTGAAGAAATATCAACTGAAAATTTCCAAAATTTGACCAAAATATCAAACCCACAAGACCATGGAATCCAATGAATTGAAGCAAGATAGATATGAAGAAAACCACACCTAGCCACATCATAGTAAAACTGCTAAGAAGCAAAGAGAAAATCTTAAGCAAGGGAAAAAAGACATTACATACAGGGGAATGACAATAAGAATTATAAATGACTTTTTATCAGAAACAATGAATACCAGAAGAAAATGGAATAACATGTTGTTTTTTGTTTGTTTGTTTGTTTTTTTGCGGTACGTGGGCCTCTCACTGTTGTGGCATGGCCTCTCCCATTGCGGAGCACAGGCTCCGGATGCACAGGCTCAGCGGCCATGGCTCACGGGCCCAGCCGCTCCGCGGCATGT